CAAGGCCGCGGCTACGACAAATTCGAGCGCCAAGACGCAGCGCTGGACAAGGTAATATTTTCTGTTTCGCACTTGTCGCATCTTTTTTGGTTGATACCTTGATATTTTCCTAGTTTCGCAAATTTGCGTCAGCCAAGAATGTGCACATTACGCTCGTCGTGCACCCGCGCAAGGAGCAAGACGATACTGACTTGAGCCTCTCGTCCGTCTTTGGCACGGCCAAGGCGACGCAGGAGGCCGACAACGTGCTTATTCTCCAGCGCATCAAGGGCGAGATGAAGCTCGATATTCGCAAGAACCGGTTTGATGGGACGCTCGGTTCGATCCCGCTGGCCTTTGACCCGCGCAGCAACTGCCTCCGCGAGCGCTACGCGACGACCATGCCCGATGCCGTCGCGGCCGTGGACGCCGAGCACGAAGTGCACCGCATGCAGTACGATGTGTCGCCGCCGTCGACGTCGTATGCGAGCGAGATCATTCTCGAGCCGACGCCCCCGAGCGTCGTTGCGCCGCGCCAGGTGCAGCATTTGAACGGACGCCACGACGTGGCCGACGAGGAAGAAGAGCCCTTCTCCATGTTTACGCCCATTATTACCAAGTAGATTTCTCATTCGCCACGTCGTTGTTCCTTTTGGTTGCTCGCATCGCGACGTGCGAGCATCGAGAACTCTGGGAGGCGGAGCATCAACCTCTCCTTCCGGAGCGAGTCTCGGTGCAAATAATCTAGAGTCGACATCAGGGGAAGGCAGCGCAATAGTAGGATCGCGTTTGGATTGATGTTTGGTGTCGCGTGATGCTACGAACGCATCAATCCAGGATGCAAACACACAAAGCACCTAGCTTCTAGCTCGTCGTTGCTGATCCATCTAGTTCGAGAAGACAACTCGTCGACGACGCACTGTACCATCAGCACCCAAGGCGAATACGTCGAGGACACTGAGTTTTGATGGAACAGTTCGCTGCCGACGCGTCGCCTTCGCGCAGCAAATGCCAACTGGTCGATGAATTTGTTGTACCCTTGCTTATGTCTATTCCCAACGGTCGTTGGACATACTAGGTCCTGATCCTTTGACAAGCACAGCAGGATCGGTGGTTGCGAAGAAGTGATGTCGAGCTCGAGTCGACTCCAGCCGTCGTTGTTTGATGGGATCCCACACGTGGCGCGAAAAAGCCATGGCGCGCTGTGATTGGCCGTGAGGAGAGGTCCGGGAAAAGTCCGGAGTTCGGAATCCACGGAATGAGCAAGCGCAAGAAGGGCGTGTCCCTCGACGAGAAGCGGGACCGGATCCTCAAGCTCTACCACGAGTCGCTGGACGTCTTCAACCTCAAGGAGGTCGAGAAGCTCGGCTCCAAGGCCGGCGTCGTGCTGCAGACCATCAAGGACGTCAACCAGGCGCTCGTCGACGACAACCTCGTGGACACGGACAAGATTGGCGCCGGCAACTACTTTTGGTCCTTCCCGAGCAAGGCCGTGCAGCAGCGCAAGCGCAAGCTCGAGGACCTCGAGGCGCGGCGCGACGACCTCCGCGCCAAGCTCACGCACGTCCAGTCGTCGGTTGCAAAGCACCAGAGTCTCCAGACGCAGTCGGACGACCGGGCAGAGCGGCTCGCCCAGCTCAGCGCGCTCAAGAGCCAAGCCGACGAGATGCAGAAGAAGATTGCGCTGCTCCAAGAGAACGACCCGGACCTCTTGAAGAAGCTAGGTATATGTTGCGCGATTTTGGCGTCGGCTCCGACCCTTCCATTTCACTAGATGCCAAGGCCAAGGTGGCCAAGGAAGGCGTCGACCGCTGGACAGGTTTGTGCTCGGTGCTTTCCACGTGGCAGACAATGATACCATGTCCATAGACAATGTGTTCAACTTGAAGTCGTGGGTCATCAAGAAGAATTCGTGCTCGTCGGCCGAGGTCTCGTCCTGTGCACGCCATGCGACCTCACCAACCTCTCTTGCGCGCTAGGTGGAGAAATGGTTGGGTATCCCCGATGACTTTGACTACGTGGAATAAGCGCCATGGGCTCTACCTACGTGTGTTCGCTTGATGCGCGGGGCGACCGTTAGCCAGTACGTTCTCCTCCGCACCGGACCGGTTCGAAGCAGTGCGAGCGGCGGTTGATCCCCTAATCCCAACGGCCGATTCGACGCGTCGTGGTGTATTATCTGCATTGCAAATGTTGCGTCGCTTGCTGCTTGTGCTCTTTGTGTCCACTGCTGTTCTCGCTGGAGAGCAAAGCCCCGATCCACGCCTGCACACTGAGTCGAGGCCGACCATGCTGAGCGGAGACCCCGACATTGAGATCAAGACTGGTGCTGTGCGGGGGACGCGTGTTCCAAAGCTGCACGATGCGGTCGCTACTGCGTCTGCTCGCATGGACAACAGTCTCGGCTTTGCTCTCTTTGGCTGCGTCGGTGTTGCGTCGGTCCTTATTGGCGCAATGCTAGCCAGGACCCGCCCAAGACATTTGGAAGCACCGAAAGAGGCGGACGAAGATGCGACCGAAATGACATCGACGACTGAGATTCCGATGCTGTAGCCTCTGGTTATGTGAGGATGCATATCGTCGAATCAAGTGACATGCCTACGGCCATCTGAACAGTAAATAAATTCCCCCTTGTCAAAGTCACTGCTCAATGGGATTCTACTGCACGCTCGCGACACGGGCGACGACAATACACGGTACTCAACGTCGAGGGCGGGCCCGTCGTACAGGTCAGTCTTACTGGTTCAACGACAGCCGGCGTTGCTCTTAAGCGGCACCAACAAGGATCTTCCCCCGATGGGCTAACCTGTGGTCCTTGATCAATAATGGCACAACAACGCCAATCGATCCCTGGTGTCATGCTATATGACACAATATTACTACAGCAAGGTGCAACCACCGAGATCAAAAATCGAGCCACCAAGCTCATTTGCGATTTGCTCGCCAATCCTCTTAGCTACTCAATGCTCTTTGAACCCACCCACCAGTCCCTTCTTGGGCGGCAGCGGCCTCCCAACACGAACCCCTGTTCGTCTCTCCATGCACCTGCGTCTATAGCCTAGGTGCCGAGAAAGTGCAAGCTGGATCGGACGGCCACGGCTTTCCATGCAGCCTGGTACACGAAGTCACCGTACCGCGGAAGGACGT